TTCACAGACGGATGAAAATGACTCTAATGGCGTATCGGTACTACTATTTACAGCAAGATTTACAAGAGCTTTCTTTGAAGTAGATCTTTGATTGAAGCTGATCTCTTAACGATGCAAGAGAAGAACATCAAAGTAATAACAAACGTCGAGGAACCCTGTAGAAACATCAAGCGCAACATTGATTAGTACAGTTGTTTGTTTACTTCCGCCTCCCATCCGTTTTTTATTGCGACCTACTCATGTCTGACGAAAGAATAACAAAAAAGGGAGCTAGCGGTTATTAGTCGACGATGCTCATTTATTAAGTATTTATTTATTTTAATTTGCACTTTTCATCTAAAACATTCTTACTATGAATGTGTGCTATTTTATCAGATTTTTATTATTTACCACGATTCAGAGTTTTTACAAAAAGTCTTTCTTGGTATAAATTTGGACAGATCGACGTCCACTCAAATCCTATTTCTGGAACGATACTTTGGTCCTCATAAGCCGCACTTCAACGATAATGACGGTTGTGTTGAAAAGCCCAATAGGGGTGCGGAGAGGTCAAGATAAAATCGAGTCTTGCGATAAAATCGTGACATTTTTGAATAATTCTTAAAGTTATAAAATTTAATATATGGAAGAAAACGGAAAGTCAGCAAAACGAGGCTTGTTGGAGAAGGGCAGGATTGCGCTTCGATGAAAGAAGAATGAATACATTTCCATTCCACCGACATTTTCATAGTTTTAACTCATGAAACGCCTTGTGAATATTTGTACATTTGCCAAGTAACTTACAAGTTCTGCGAACTGATCACGATCAATCAAATAATTAAAAGTTGCCAAATTAAACATATCAACTGCTAATGATTTTTTATCTAACTTTACTTTACTTGAAAAACCGTGGCTACAACTGGCTTTTAGAAAAAACTGTTAATTCCGGATTAAGTTACAAACGAGGAAAACGAAAGTGCTGACCGTTTTTATTTTTAAAATAAAAATGGACAATTTTACATTGGTTTATGAGGTTGATTTTTTCAATTTTAAAAACTGTACTTACGTACAGACTCTTGAAAAAGAGCGTGCGTACAAACTCACATATTGTRTGCATAACCGAAGTGAGAATAACAGATGTGAAAACCATAACACTGACCTTTGGAAATGCAAGCAACTGCGTATCTATTATACCTAGCAGGGGTGCTGACTGAGCGGAGGGACCGGGTCATTCACTCCAATCCCAACCCCCACTTCACACACACAAATAACGGCATCGGTTTTGTACACAAAACATAAGTGCATATTTCAAATTTAGCAATAGATRCATGTCTTTTTGTCTATATTTGTCAACATTCTAACTGAATACGTCATNTTTGTGTTGGACGGTAGAAAACAGAGAAATAAGCACCCGTTTTTTTAAATTTCATGGATGAAATGCTTCAATCCTCTCTAGGAGGCCCAGAATCGATAAGTCGTCACGAGAGGTGAACCACTGCATCCCGTTTTGCTGAAGCAATATGGAAACGGATCATGGTAGGAATAAGGTTACCGCGGCGATTAAGTGCATATAAAGGCAAGACAAAATCATAAAGATCACCATTGCTTCAAGCAGAATTATAAGAGCTGGAAGAAAAATCGAATCTACTGGTCTAAAAGATGGTGAGTAAATAATACTCAGGTCTATTGAACAGGCTCTTGCTTTTTTTCTTTCTTTTTTATTCCCACTGACGGGCAATCCCAAGGGACGGGTTTTCTGCGACAAAAAATGATGTTCTGTTAAAAGAAAATCGAAAAAAAGAGCTGAGTGGCTAGCGATTTTCTTTTTTATTTGGTCAATTAAAAACATTTCTTGTTAAGAAATAATTTAAAGAATTTGAAAACTGTACGACGAACAAAATAAGGTGGAAAACAATGTTCCAAGGATCTGAGATCAATAATTAATATTACAAAATTGGACTATTTTCAGAAATTTTCAGTGACTGCATATGCATTTCTTGTCGTTTGGTATATCTGTACCACCAAGGCTCATCCTATTGAACAGGTAAGGTTGTCATATGTAATTTTACATTTATAAAGCTACAAAATAATTCTTTTGTTGTTTTCACTTTTGTTGTTCTGGTGCTGTGTAAACCAACGTTTAGCATTTAGATGCTTTCAGCTTCGCAGCCAAGTATGTACAATATGACTAAGTAATCGGTATGGTTATTGAACACCGAGTCGCCAGTCGAGCTGAATTAAACTTCACACAATTTTTTTGAGCTGCGGATTCTTCCCTTCTGATATTTTGTTTTAACTTCTTTGAAACATTTCCATACCTCCCTCCCGATTACAATAGCGAAGGATTTTTTTATGTCGCACGAGTGTTTTTGTCTTTTTGCAATTAATGATCAACTAACCCCATCCTCAAAAGTCGAATGTTCAGCCTCTAAATTTTATATTAATGACCGCGACTAGCTCAGAGTTTAAAATGAATTATCAATAATTATTAATGAATTATTAATAATCAATTATGCAGTAGGATTGAGTTTAATTAGATTTTTTTCTGTCATTTGTTTGAGCTAACCGCATCTCTGATATTATGTAGGTAGAGGTTTCTCAGTCAGGTGAGTTCAAAGTCCATATTTTGGAGAGAGGCACCAAGTTTCAAGAGAAAATCTACATTGACGWGCAAAATGACATCGAGTATTTCAAAGTACCACCACACAATGGCAATATTGAGTCGGATCATCTGTACGACTTCAGAATGGTAGGAGATAGCAAATGGCTTGTTTTTGGCAGGAAAACAAAAAACAAAAAACAAAAAGCAGTAAATGAATGCCTTTTTAGACGTTGAAATATGAGATATGATCCTTTCAGAACTGGCAAATCTGCAAAACTGTCTTCCAGATATTTTTTCTAATATGAATCAGCGTTATCTTTTATGGCTATGTTTCGCTAATTTTACATTTTTTACATTATTTTGCAGAACATCACAGTTAGCCGTGTGAAGAAAGATGGTGTTTGTCATGTCTCCCCACTGCCAGATGACCTTCCAAGACCAGACTTACTATCTCAAGGACTAAAATCGGTAAGATAGAAAACGCAGTAACTGTGCAATGGTAACTCTAAAAGTCAATCCTGAGATAAAACATATTTTTTTGCTGACGTGTACATTTAATTTGTTCCCTTGTTTCAGTTTTCTAGCACGGGTCAAAATGCGACGATCAAAACGGTGTATATGCGTTGGACACGTGGTCCAGAGGTCGACAAAAMCRTTTTAAGAAAGGAAGTACGTGACTTTTGTGGTCAGTTCCCAGTCTACCAATTGGTACCTTTTAATCCTGACTTGGTGTCAGCATTTAATAGCGGTGAGTCTCTTCAAGTACGTTAGAAAGGAAAATTTGCTTCATGCACATGAANGGTACACGGAATCCAGGACGGACTGAAACGTGCGTACGCGCGGGAACCCTGTGTCGGTCCATGGAAAATCGACTCGATGGTATACCATTTTTTCTTAGCTATGGTGCTCCGCTCGCGCGGGGCTTCGGCCCGCGCGGGAGCTCCGCTATGAAAGCAAATTATGTCGTAAAATACCTTTTTTATTACTTCGACTATATACAGAAACTTCAAATGTGATATTTTGTTATTTTCACTAGTGAAAATATAAATTTTACGAAATGGAGAAATATAGGTATTTCATAGATAATTATATGATAAATCTTTTTATTAAATATTTCTGATCTATATTATGCCATTGGTATACTGGGGTCCAATGGAGCTCAATGTCTGAATGAAAACAGAGATTTTTCTCAGATATTATTTTTGTTATCAGGGATTCGCCTTTTTGATGAAAACATCAAATCAACTGATGCTACAGAATCGAAAGCCTTGGTCCACAAGCTGGACAAAGTGGACATCTATTCTAATAGCTGGGGCCCTGGGGACATGGGATGGCAGGTAGAAGGTCCTGGCAAAAAGACCAAAGCTGCTCTTAAACGCGGAGTAGAAGAGGTAATGATTTCACTTAAGTCCACGTCTTTTTCACAGTTTGACTTTGTAGCTCAGCTGGTTAAACACGATGGAATCAGACACACCAAATTGAAATTGAGAAATTGACGTTTTGTTTTCAATACTTCCAGGGACGTAATGGTTTGGGTGCCATCTACACATTTGCAGCTGGTAATGGCGGTATAACCCAGGACAGCTGTGCCTATAATGGTTATGTTAACAGTATCTACACTATCGCCATCAACGGTGTTAACGAAGATGGTTCAAACCCTACTTATGCAGAAGAGTGTCCTAGTATCATGGCAACGGCTTACAGCCGAGACACACTAAGACGAATTGGGGAAGTTGTAAGTATAAAGCTTGGAAATAGTTTCAATAGTATAATTTTATATACAAGCACGGCACTTTCAGATTTTTCGATTGCCTCTCTTGACACTCCATTCCACAAAAGCACACAATACTCCATTTTACACTTCTAAGCGCCATTTTAAAAGGTACAAAAGCCTTTGTATCAAAGCGAGACAGGAGTTTAGCCTTCAGAGATAGATACCTTTTGTTCATATCTAAGACAATCATTTACAGGGATAAATTTAAGCTCATATTCTCTCCCACTTTCAAAAAAGCCACGGCTAAAAGAGACATAGCCAGCAGAGTTGACGTCATAAAACTTAATGCGCTTATCTTGAATCTGATGAATATTTTTATTTCCTTGTCAACTTAGCACAAAAATAATGAGAACAGCAAAATAAAGCAGAAAAAGCAAAGGAAAAATACACGAAGCACACACACAAACAAAAGTAACAACAACAACAACAACAAAATAACAAACAACCAAAAAACCAAAAGAAAAAAACAACAGGAAATCATTTTTTTTCCTATTTTTTCATAGATAACCATTGACGGGCAGAACGATTGCATTCAGACTTTTGGTGCATCTTCTGCGTCTACAGCGATGGCTTCTGGTCTGATTGCTTTGACTCTTCAAGCTAAGTAAGTATACTTCAAAATACCATTTATAGGCATAGGCAATTGTATGTTCATTGAATTTGATCGATTAACAAAACAAGTAATAACGATGATAAAAAAATCATTAAAAAAACAACAACAAACAAACAAACAAACAAAAAATATTTGTTATTACTTGCTGATGTGCTTTATCAGATCTCGGAAGCGACCTTCTCAAACTCATTAATAATTCATGACTTCATAGTCCAATCGGATGTTTATTTTAGAGTCACGTGCATACCCTTGGATACCATGATCCAACATCGAATGCTAATTTGTTCCAAACCCGTGTGTTTAGATATCCAAATCCATGTGTTTGGATATCCAGCCACATGGGTTTGGAACTCATTAACATAAATTTGCTATGCTCTTAAAACTTCGCCGTTACTTTTTTAAAACCACTTATCTTTTTGGGGTGTTTTTTCTCTTCTTCTTACTTCTCTAATCTTTATTTTAACTAATCAATTTTTATGTTATGTTATTTTACTATATTATATTAACTACTTCTTACCATTGGAGTGGCTCGAACCGGTGACCTTTGGGTTAAGAGTCCAGTGCGTAACCAACTTAGCTAGTGATGATTTTGTTGAAAATATTGGGTTTGACGTATTATTTATATTTCTCCTTGTGGCTATGTTAACTTATTACACGTAGAAAATCGATAGATCTATATTTGCTAAAGAAGCGATTATACTTTATAGTTGTCCACGGTACATTTAATGGTTAGTTTTTTTCATTCATAGAGATGTGTACACATTTTGCATATTTTGTACTCATCTTTTATTCTTTATATTTATTCTATGAATACTTCATTCATATTTGAACATACATATTTCTTATTGAGGTTTTTTGTAATACACATTTATGACAAATTGATCACTGGGTTTACTGGAGCATTGGATGATATTCGTTTCTCCCTCTTGTCGCCTGCTGACCGGCCGGGTACTGTTGATGTACTCGTGGGTATGGTCATGGTCGAACCCACAGGCTGCGATCCGACATGTCCGAGAACGTGTGACACTATCTTGCATACGTTTGTACTTGGTTTTTCGTAATGTCTACACATTTGCCATGACATGAAAATTTCCACGGCTCACTTCGTTTTGTATTGTAGATTGTGGCGTAGCTTTTGACAATAACTCAGCATCTTCTTCTCGAGTTGTTGGATCTCGAAAGCTACACGCGGAGGTTGCCTCCGCCATTTCAACTTATGAAATTGAGCTGAATAAACAGAACTACTACAAATTTATTACAAATCTCTCTCCTTTGGGGTTTATATATATAATAGCGATTGATGATGCCACTTTCATTCTATTCATACCCAAAATAGGACTGATGAATAAATCCAATTACGGTCTTTAAGGAATTTGCCAGCTGAAGTCATTCATTATCAATTTGTTTGAGAAATCAGATCAAAAACTCGTGCTTCATGTTTCATCAGGGGAATCCAAACATCTCGAAACGCTAAAAGCACTTGGCCTTCGGCCGCGTGCTTTCATCTGTTTCTCGGTGTTTGGATCCCCTGATGAAACACTCGCACTCGTTTTTGATCTATTACATCTTCATTGACCATTGATCTACATCAGATATTTTTGGAAAGCAATAAATGATTTCGGGCGTTTATTTGGAAAACAAAGCACGCCGGGATGTTCTGGGGGAACACGAAAAAAGGCCTAAAATATCAAAATGGCAGCATAGTAGTGCATACATCCCAACATCTCCAACTTCTTTTTTTTACCGATAAACGCACAACAATCCATACTTTATTGCTTTTATAGAAAGCAATTTATGCTCGCGAGGTTGCATTAACTGTCGAAATAAATTTGGGCTAATCAGAGCGTTCGTACTATAACATCTATATCATATAATTGGATTGATTGATTTTTAAATTGGTTTAATTAACAGTCCCAACCTAACCTGGCGTGATGTGCAGCATATTATCGTGAGAAGTTCGAGATCTGCACCAGGAGGAAAGATACTCCAGCGTGGAGATTGGCAAACTAACAAGGCCGGATTTAGAGTCAGTAAATTCTATGGGTTTGGTTTAATGGACGCTGGACGGATGGTTCACATTGCCAAACAATGGAAAACAGTTCCTCCCCAAATAAGATGTGAGATAAAAGGCANGAAGAACTCCAATGGCAAAGTGTGGAATTGGCCAGATCACAGACACAGAGTGTGGCGAATCTGCAAAGCACCAAAGGAAAACCAAAAATGAAGTAATATTACTGGTAAAATGCAATCGGGACATTTCTAAGCACCTTCAATTTTGTAAAATAAGCAACGAAGGTATTTCGACAGAAGCCGATCTGATACTTTGCAGAGCAGGTAAACTGGTCTTTTTAAAACTTCATTTTATTTTCTGAAATTTATGTGAGTCAAAATATGCTTTTTTGATAGGAATCTTTGCCTCGTCGCGCAAAGAAAACATAGTCGTTTGCTCACTGCATAGAGATAGCCTTGGTATCTATTGGAGAGGCCAATATAAGAATTGTCAAGTACCGATTTCTATTGCTGCACACTCAAAGAGATCAAGAGGAGATCGATCTGTTGGAAAACGACTATCGCAATCAATATTTGAAAGAACAAATGAGCTTCTCCCTGTTGGATCATGTAAGTGTTCGATAAGTGTACAGAAACAATTGCGAATATTCACTATGATAAAAAAATATACCCAAACCTCGTTGTCTTTACCTTAATAGCAATATGCAGACGTTGCAGAGAGATGTACGCTTGTACGAAAATCAAGCCATGCGAAGGAGTAGAAGATGTAAGTAGTTGTCTCTCTGGGGGGGGGGTGGTCCCATATATGTTAATAAGTAATGTGAATTAATGCATTAGCGTTAATTCCATTTAAAAGTTTTTAAATATTGATTTCAATCAACCTGCATGTCAATTAACGATTCTTAGGATTGTCTGTGSCTAGGGTATGAAAAATCGACATTTTCAGGGTTTCGATGTCTTGAAGACAYACCCTTGRGGTGGTTGTTCCTCTCTCCTACCTCTCGGGCTAACCCCGTTTTCATCTAAAACTCTGCCGATGTATTTTTTATACGTTGCCATTTCTCATTTAATTCAATTTCTATTTTGCATAGACGACAAGCTATGAGACCACAACAGAACTCTGTCCATCAGTTGACACGCTCATCGATACATTCCAGYCTCTCACGATTCGTGGTAATAMGCAAGACGTATCAATGTACAGTCCATCTTGCTCGCAAGATACAGCTTCGTCACAAGAAGAGCCTAGCGCCAGCTTAAAAGATTCTGACACCACTTCGAAAAACTTGGAAAGGTTAAATAATTTCCTTGAAGCGTCTAGTGTTGGTACTGTTCAACATGCGCTTAGTCGGCCCTGGAGCAAAGTAACAGACAAAACTCAATCATATTACACCAATATCGGCAGTTCTGTTCTTGCAGAAGTCATACGCACGTTAGCTCCTGAGTCAGCTGGAGAATTATGGAAGGCTATCAAAAGTAGTAATTTAGTGGACGAGTATCTGGGCGATGAACAATACGTTGGCAGCGACTTACTTATCGCTGTTGCGGAGTCCTACAAACAAGCATCTGAGCCAGAGACTCGACTTCAGCTTCTGAGTTTGGTGGCCAATAAAGTGAGCTATAAGAATATATGCACATATATACCAGACCTCAAAAGGCATCAATTCAGGGCAGCAAGAAGGCACAGCGTGGAATTTGGAGCCGGTCAAGCAGTGGARGAAACTGAAAAGCAAGTCCGACAAAAGATTGATCCTGCAAAATTGGAGCACTTCCTTGACTTTATTACAGCAGCAAATATCATACAAGATCTTCCCTTCGGTCAGAAGACGCTAAAACTATCTTCTGGTGACAAGCTACAGATCCCAAACATCATACRTACTCTCATACCATCACGCCTTATAGCCCAGTATCAGCAATATTGCAGCGAGAACGCCTATGTACCATTATCAAGAGCTACACTTTATAAGATACTGTCCCAGTCGTGCGTTGCCTCAGTAAGGAAGAGTCTACAAGGACTTGATAATTATGCTCCTGACGGAGGACGCGCGTTTGATGATCTTATTGCCTTAATGGACACATTGTCGATGCATGGTCTGGATGAACACACAGCTAGCAAGACCAAAGATCAGCTTTTGTTACTTAAACAATATATCAAAGGAGACTACAAGGTAAATATAAATATTCTCCTATATTCATTTGCCTCCCATCTGGTCCCAAATCACAAGCATTGGTGCCCTGTAACCATAAATTTACTCTCAGACTTAAGGGTATTTTGCGTCGTAGGTTCAATCAACTATTGAAAATAGTGTCGCCGATCATTGCAGAACATATGCACTCAGTGATCCAAAGAAAAAGCACTTTCAAGAACACTGCAAGCACGAACACGATTATTACTGCGAAAGATGTGAGACTTTAAAAGAGGTATGTAGCACANTGTCTTCCAGATATTTTTTCTAATATGAATCAGCGTTATCTTTTATGGCTATGTTTCGCTAATTTTACATTTTTTACATTATTTTGCAGAACATCACAGTTAGCCGTGTGAAGAAAGATGGTGTTTGTCATGTCTCCCCACTGCCAGATGACCTTCCAAGACCAGACTTACTATCTCAAGGACTAAAATCGGTAAGATAGAAAACGCAGTAACTGTGCAATGGTAACTCTAAAAGTCAATCCTGAGATAAAATATAAAACATATTTTTTTGCTGACGTGTACATTTAATTTGTTCCCTTGTTTCAGTTTTCTAGCACGGGTCAAAATGCGACGATCAAAACGGTGTATATGCGTTGGACACGTGGTCCAGAGGTCGACAAAAACGTTTTAAGAAAGGAAGTACGTGACTTTTGTGGTCAGTTCCCAGTCTACCAATTGGTACCTTTTAATCCTGACTTGGTGTCAGCATTTAATAGCGGTGAGTCTCTTCAAGTACGTTAGAAAGCTTCATGCATATGAAGTATTTGAAACGGCATATTCAGGATGCATTTTAGTAAAACGTTCTTGAAAATTTTTATTTGGTAATTGTTTTGATCTTAAGTTAGTATAGATATGCATGAGAAAATTTTCTGCTACCCTTGCTTCCACCTTGACATTATCTTGAGCAAATTTTCTTTGGCCTGAGCTCGAGCGAAGTAGTTTCAGTGGCTCTGCATGAACTCGGAGCCGTTCGGAAAAGTTTTTCTCAGAGATTGAAACAGTTATCGATGACAGTTAAAGTGGATTGCCTGTGTATTAACAAGAAATCAAAATTACGATTTTCTCCTGTAATTTCCTTTTTTAATAACAAACCCTCAGGCTCCAAGATTTGCGGAATTATTTTCGACTACCTTCCACGCCAACAACTGAGTGTGTATGTATAGGGGACGAATTTCACACTAATATTTTGAATGGTATTGTCCTGTTTCCAGGTAGAGTAAAGCGTTCAATAGGAAATTGGCCACTCTGCAACCCAGAAAATATCCCTGGTAGTTGCAATCCCAATACTTGGCTTTGGTCTTGCAAGATCCGAGATACAAAGTGTGTCTATTATTTGACGTGCAACGCCAATGGGCAGACGAAAAAGTTGGATTGTGATGACCTTCGTACGACTGACCATCGATTTACCAGTTTCATTTGCTGTAATCCCAAGTGCCCCTAAGCACATATAACTGCTGGCTGCGTTATCAATGATATTGTGGTCGGGCTACTCCTTTATAGTACACACATACAAATAACAATTATTTTTAAGAAATTCTGTACTTTTTACTATGCTTTTAATCAATAAACGCTAACATCCTTCTCTACACAAGTGTAGTGATTGACAATAAAGGCCCACGTGCATCTAAGAACCTCGGCAACAATTTCTTTCTTTTCAACAAAGGATCATACGAAAAACAGAAAAAAATCGACTGCAGGGTTATTTGAATACACGTGGCCCTTTAACTACATCGAACCTTTGGCTTCAAGCAGTGCTAAAGCACCGGAATCTGCTTTTGTTTACTATCGATACTTTAAAAAGATCGATTGTTTCCTTGGTGTGCCATTGAATAGTTTAAGTAAKGGTCCGTTTTAGAAGSAGGCAAGCAAACTATCTATATACCCGATAAAACACGCACTCGAGTTCTATAAACGACTTCTAGAACTCCAACATTCAGAAATTGTTATCATTTTAGAAAAAAGCTAAAAAATGCGAAAACAGTGATAATACATACTGAACTTCTTCGCCTTCGGCTCGCCATTGTATTTCCCAATACAGATCGGCCGCTCATATTGTATATATTACATAGAGAACAAGTTTTTTTTGTAAGAATGCTAAAAAATAATCAATAGTTTCGACAATAAATACATTCTTTCTGGTGGATTTTAAGACTGTGACATGCCTAAGTGCGATATACTCCTTAGTAAAAGTTTTAGGCATCAAGTGATGGACAATGAGGAATGACAAGCCCCCTTCCCCCTAATTGTTTAGGCTTGCTATGGACTGGTATTTCACGGGTTTAATGTGAGATCCCTAACCTGCGGGAAAACATTGAACAGCTAAATTGTTATAGTGAAATAGATACCAAAGAAAGGGTTTCAATAAAAGAATCGAGGAAGTGCGTCATCCTGATATCTATTTCAAGGGTTTTCTTGCTATCCTTCTACTAGAAAAATCAGCACTAAAAATAAGATTTATTATTATAATTATTCTCGAGAAAGCTCAGGAAAATTCCTTTATCGAAACTGAAGTTGGCATATATAGGAAAAGTCAGAATTGTCTTACTGTGAAATCACCAAGTAATGTCAACTCTCGCACGGACATGCGGCTATAACGGACACCTCGATATTTCACCTAAATACTGAATCCCCGGAGAAAAATATCGAGAAATGACTGAAAGTAACTCTAGTTACTACGTACTCTCGCTACTGCGGATACTAAATTACGGTCCCGAGGGTGTCCGTAAAAGCGCGAGCCGTTGACTGTACACAGTGCATAGACGCACATGTCTTGTGCTCCTTAACAAAAACGATGCGAGAATCCAGTACTCCCTCCGTTAGTGGTAACCCGTATTTGGGATCTAGGTTTTGGGGGATTAGAAGCTGAGGAAACTTAGTTACGGCTGGCTTTTTACCTGATATATAAAGTTTGCCAAGAGTCTGTATGTAAGTACAGTTGTTAACACTGAAAAAATCAAGCTCATAAACCAATGTCATTTTGTCCAAATCTTATGTAAAAATGTCTACGGTCAGCACTTTCCTTTTCCTCGTTTGTAACTTAATCCGAAATTAGTGTGAATAATTTCCCTCAGCAAAGCAGGACGTAAATATTTGCTCAAGGACTGTAAACCCCATGTAATTATCGTACATTGCCAGATTTGCGTAATTAATGGCACAAGTTCTCTTTATAGCATTTAGCAAACACAGGGAAAACCCTCTACTTGACCTTGTACTTTAGCGTCGATCAACACCCTTCTGACGAATATTTTTTTTCATTCTGAAACATTACGTCCCGAAAAATGCAGGCGAGACTGATTCTAATCATCTATATACTCACCATGAATTAGCTGGAGCTGGGTACCTATTTTGAAATATTGAAAAAAGTCTTCATTTTCCCTATAATATGTACAAGATAAACAAATAGAACGCCAAAAATCTATTTGCATCAAAACTGCACCTGTAAGTGAATAGCTGGTAGTGCCATAAAAATATAAATTGAACAAGTTTGTTATTATTTCCGCTCTAGAGAAAACGGAAGTTGTCAGCGTGAGATGTCGGACCACGTCCCTGGTCGGACACACAACATGCAAAAACATGTCAGCTGAAAAGAAAGTGTAAACGATAGCCTTTGCACCGCACGCATGACCAAGGGATACTAAATCAAAGCCTTAGGCAATATCGGACATTGCCATACTGATAAATTCGCCGTATTTTCTTTAATTGTATAGCTTTTAGCAAACGCATGGGAAACCCTATATAGCTAGCCTTGTACTTTAGTATCCATCAGCAACCTCTTGAAGAAGCTGTTGTAAAAAAACAGCTTCATATTGTCCATTCTTCTGCTAAAAAAAATAATACGATCAGCACTTTCCTCTTCATTATTCGTAACTCGATCCGATAGTAGTGTGAATTAGTTCCCTCAGGAAAGCAGGACGTAACTTTATGCACGAGGCTGCAAACCTCAGGCAATATTGTGCCTTACCAGATTGTGAAAATTCGTCCCATTTTCTTTCTAGTATATAACTATTCAAAAATGCTTATGTCAATGGTGGAACGGTAATTACACGACCGAAAGTAGCCATGGGTTTTGCTAATTGAAAGGCAATAACAACTGATTTATACTGTATGATAGTCTGTGGTAAATATTGGCTTCATTTAGTCTCCATTTCTATGTAAGGTGAATCCAATAAGTGAAATTTTGTTTATCAAAACAGTGTAACCATAGTCCCTTTCGGTCGTGCAATCTCCCTTTGACAATCGCCGTTCGCCGTTCGCCGTTCTCCCCGACAACGTTTTTTGAAATAGCTGTATATCTATCGCAGGGAAAACCTTCTTGAGGAAATTTTTTATTTCAATCTCATCCGGGTGAAATGTCAAACATATAATGCCCCTTTTCCGAATAATGCAGGCGAGACTGATTCTTATCATCTATAGTGGTATAGATCAGCTTGAGAACGAACACCCTTTTCATAACGTTGAAGCAAAAGACAGATTTTCCTAATATGCGAAGAAAAACAAATAGCACACCAAAATTTGAGAAAAATCTATTTGTGTCAAAACTGCAGCTGTAGGTTTAGCTACTAGCAACAAGTGACTATTATTTCCGCTCTAGAGAACACGGAAGCTTTTACTGTGAGATTCTAGACGTCCCGACATGGGACACAACATGCGAAGACATCTCAGCTAAAAAGGAAGTGTAAACGATAACCTTTGTACCGCATCGATACTAAATCAAAGAGTATGGTTTTCCTTCTTGAAATTAGTATACAGCAACGCTTCCAAGAGAAACATCAATAGTGAAGAAGAGCCTGAAACTTGTATTCCCNTGATGATTTTGTTGAAAATATTGGGTTTGACGTATTATTTATATTTCTCCTTGTGGCTATGTTAACTTATTACACGTAGAAAATCGATAGATCTATATTTGCTAAAGAAGCGATTATACTTTATAGTTGTCCACGGTACATTTAATGGTTAGTTTTTTTCATTCATAGAGATGTGTACACATTTTGCATATTTTGTACTCATCTTTTATTCTTTATATTTATTCTATGAATACTTCATTCATATTTGAACATACATATTTCTTATTGAGGTTTTTTGTAATACACATTTATGACAAATTGATCACTGGGTTTACTGGAGCATTGGATGATATTCGTTTCTCCCTCTTGTCGCCTGCTGACCGGCCGGGTACTGTTGATGTACTCGTGGGTATGGTCATGGTCGAACCCACAGGCTGCGATCCGACATGTCCGAGAACGTGTGACACTATCTTGCATACGTTTGTACTTGGTTTTTCGTAATGTCTACACATTTGCCATGACATGAAAATTTCCACGGCTCACTTCGTTTTGTATTGTAGATTGTGGCGTAGCTTTTGACAATAACTCAGCATCTTCTTCTCGAGTTGTTGGATCTCGAAAGCTACACGCGGAGGTTGCCTCCGCCATTTCAACTTATGAAATTGAGCTGAATAAACAGAACTACTACAAATTTATTACAAATCTCTCTCCTTTGGGGTTTATATATATAATAGCGATTGATGATGCCACTTTCATTCTATTCATACCCAAAATAGGACTGATGAATAAATCCAATTACGGTCTTTAAGGAATTTGCCAGCTGAAGTCATTCATTATCAATTTGTTTGAGAAATCAGATCAAAAACTCGTGCTTCATGTTTCATCAGGGGAATCCAAACATCTCGAAACGCTAAAAGCACTTGGCCTTCGGCCGCGTGCTTTCATCTGTTTCTCGGTGTTTGGATCCCCTGATGAAACACTCGCACTCGTTTTTGATCTATTACATCTTCATTGACCATTGATCTACATCAGATATTTTTGGAAAGCAATAAATGATTTCGGGCGTTTATTTGGAAAACAAAGCACGCCGGGATGTTCTGGGGGAACACGAAAAAAGGCCTAAAATATCAAAATGGCAGCATAGTAGTGCATACATCCCAACATCTCCAACTTCTTTTTTTTACCGATAAACGCACAACAATCCATACTTTATTGCTTTTATAGAAAGCAATTTATGCTCGCGAGGTTGCATTAACTGTCGAAATAAATTTGGGCTAATCAGAGCGTTCGTACTATAACATCTATATCATATAATTGGATTGATTGATTTTTAAATTGGTTTAATTAACAGTCCCAACCTAACCTGGCGTGATGTGCAGCATATTATCGTGAGAAGTTCGAGATCTGCACCAGGAGGAAAGATACTCCAGCGTGGAGATTGGCAAACTAACAAGGCCGGATTTAGAGTCAGTAAATTCTATGGGTTTGGTTTAATGGACGCTGGACGGATGGTTCACATTGCCAAACAATGGAAAACAGTTCCTCCCCAAATAAGATGTGAGATAAAAGGCAGTAATCTTAACAGGTTTGGGCGATTGTATTTTTTTATCTGATTTCCTTCTTTGCACATCTCTTACACGTTTCAGTTCTTCTCTATTATAGTTCTAGTGGTTATAACACCAATCACATCATAATCTTATAAATACATTTATCATCATTTTACATTTATCCCATTTGATGTTTCCTCAAATCATCTTATACTGTACTTGCTTCGTTGCTTGTTAGTGCCTTATGATATACCAAAATGCTTGACAGAAGGGAAAATGTGGGGCGGTCAATAACCGCCATTCCTAAAAGAATCGACATTTGCCGGCCGCAAACAATGCTTGATGGAGTTAGATGTTGCTTAAGATACTTTCTTCATCAAAAAGATGAAATTCTTTAGTAGATTTTGAAGGAGGAATTTAATACGGTCCATGCTAAATATCTCCAAAACATCCAAAATTTCTTCTTTTTTTTCATTTTTTGCCTTTTTTTGTCTTTGATATCCGTCGGTAGAAGTTCATAACGTCAATTGAATTTGTTTGATTATTAAGATGTGTCCAACATTTCTTAATTAATTCAGGCTAAACAAAGATTTAAGCAAAGATCCGTGACTGACATCCTTCTTTTTCTTCAGCACTATTATCCCTGCGACAGTTAATGTCTCAGTGTCAAACGCTAATTGTAACATTACTCACTTGGAACATGTGCAAGTCAAAGTTAATCTTCGTTTTGATCGACGAGGCGATCTAGGTCTAGAACTAAAAGCTCCAAGTGGCACCAGTTCTCCTCTTACGCGTCGTCGGAAGATCGACAACCTTACGGGATTTAAAAATCTGACAAACTGGAACATTACAACGCTGTTTAACTGGGGTGAAAATCCTGTGGGTGAATGGAAGCTAATAATTAAAAATTTATATTATTACAATACTAGAGGTAAATAATCTATTATATAAAATATTATTTGTAATACAGCAATATGCAGAAATTATAGATCATTTTGACGCATAGTCCAAGTATATACATAAAATATATTAGAAATTATGGGATATCATCATATTTTTTTTCAGAAGCACTAGTGCTAGGCAACTTCAAAAATATCATTAACGATGATATCTCATTTGAGTCAAATTGATCATAATTTCTGCATATTGCTTGTACATGTACAGTATATGACATTATTTTTAATATTATTGTTGGGTTGAGATTATTACGTCGAGACAAGCGCAGAGAGATATTTTGTACCTGTTGATTATCTAATAAATATTTTTATTCGGCCTCTCATAATCCATTGCGGGCATCATAATCGAGGTTTCTATGGCAACACAAAGATCGCAAAGTTTATATTTTATGAAAGCATTGTGGATCGAGTGTACAATCTTAAAAGTAATGCCATTCCCGTATTGGGTATTAAATCATCTCAGAAGTCACACAAAGCCTATAAAAAATAGCTAAAAACAGAACAGTAAGTTGTGACAGAATTACAACAGAGCTATAGGCAATTCGTTTCAATCAAACACAGAAATTAAAAACCCGTTTAAAAGGTGCTTTACGGATTTCTAAATCATTTGGACTTGTCTGCAATACTCTAGAAGTGCGAGAAGCATACAACTAATATTACATCCGTGATTCTCTTTTTGGTACGTTTACTTTAACTGAATATAGCAAATAAACACGAGTGAGCACATTGATTGAGACAATTGCAGATTAACTAGCTTCATCATAACCGTAGAAATCCCTGATTATTATCCTTGCAATGTCTAGGTATACTCTACAGTTGGTCCCTGATATTGTATGGAACTTCATTACATCCAACAGAAAGTGATGAATGGCAGCCATCTAGGCCTCTTTCCTCAACTTCAACACCTCCTTCAGTAAAAGGTAAAGCTAATATAGTCAATCCCATAAACGCTGTTCAATTGTATTGGCATTTATAAAATTTTTGACATATAACGCGCGCTCTGATTGGCTGACCACCGTGTTTATATCAGAGGACAGAGACACGGCTTACCGGCAAAATTTGCTTTTCGCTCGAAAAATTTTATAAAAGAAATATAAAACGGCCGCTTGTGTCTCTGTCCTCGGATATAAACACGGTGGGAATTGAAAACCACTCGAGAAGCAAGAGAAACACTCGCTACGCTCGTGTTCCTAAGCATGCCTCTCTCGTGTTTTTCGAACTCCCACGGCCGTGTTTATATCAGAGGACAGAGACACGCGCGCCGTTTTATATTTCTTAAAGAGACAACAACAACTGAAATAATTTGAATACAACAAATTGAAAATACGTAGTCGGGTCATACAAAAGGTTGCATCATGAATGCTCAGGGCGAAAGGGAAGATGGGAAGCAAATATTACGAACGTCATCCCCTTTTAGGTCTTGACGTTTTTTTTCAATGATATAAGTTTTTTTTTAACTTCTTTTTAGCAACTATACAAGAATATTCAATATCAAGTTGTACAACGTCTTTGCAATGTCACGACACTTGCTGTGCATTTTTGTTTGAAGTTTTAAATAAAATTCTTCCCAGGGATTTTCAAAATATTTCTCTACATGCACCTGTACCATGTTGATTGGATTAACTGTTTCGTCAAATTCCTCTATTCACGATCTATACTATGATATCTTTATCAATAATAAAGAATTTATTATCGCCAGGGTTATAGCGGAGCTCCCGCGCGGGCCGAAGCCCCGCGCGAGCGGAGCACCATAAATGCACCATAAGATGGTATACCATCGAGTCGATTTTCCATGGACCGACACAGGGTTCCCGCGCGTACGCACGTTTCCGTCTTTCCGTCCGTCCTGGATTCCGTGTACCACCACAGGAAACCCATACTCCGCTCGAAATGGANTGGTAAGGCATCAATTCATATAATTAGAGAGATGTACCATAAACTCTCATATAACTCTATATCCACTAAGAACTTTTCCAAATAACATCAGTATTGTCAATAAGCTATAAACATGCATTTATAAAGTTTTTCGACAATGAATATCCAATAATTTATTCGATGCAAGTATGGTGTCTGCATTCTTTCATATTTATCTATTTTATAACCATTCAAAAATGTACCCATTTTATGTCAGAAGCTCATATGAGCTCTCTGTAAACCCATTTAAATCACCCATTTAAAAATCTCTGAATCTAAAAAATCTCAAAGTGCCGTGCTTGTGACTATACAAACTTGTAGAATAGTATTATTTCGGACTTTATTGCATTTCCCTTGTTGTATTAATTGAAATTACCGTTATTCCGACGATTTTTTAAGAAAAATTAAACTGCCTGACGTTTAGTTCTGGGACTAAACGTCAGGCGTCCTGACGTTTAGATACTCCGTTAAAAAAAACAACAGTACTGTGCTAATCAATGTGCGTTTTATTTTTCTGCAGAGTTCCTCCATGTTTGTTATTACTTTGATGTTCTTCTCTTGCATCGTTAAGAGATCAGCTCCCTTCAATGAGGTATTTCAAAGGCTGATTACACCTTGCCAAAAAGAGTTGGTCCGATACGCTAATATTGTTTCCTACTCGTATTCAATCTTGTTCTCTCTGTAAAGGCTTTAAACCAGATATTGCTGGTCGACTCGAAACTTTTTCTTCTTTTAGGCAATTAATGTCAAACTTGAAAAATATAATCATTCACCTGTACAGCRAGATATTAGAATCGTATTTTAGTAACTAGTAATTAGTCATGCTATTTAACATATGCTCTCTTAATTTTTTAAGTAAATTGATTACTACTTATTATGTATTATTTATCATTACTTTATTACTTTTATTACTACTTTTACTATTTTTGCCATATCCCTTACTGTTACCGACGAATTTCTTAAAACTTAAGCAGATAAGAATTATATCTTAAGAGACAGTCTTTGTAAGGATTGAGCATCTTTGTAAGGATTGAGCAAACTCGGAAATGGCCCAAAAATCACCCCACCTCAAATTTTGTCACAACGAAGCCTGTTATCTGACACATCTAAAAACCTAGTTTGTTTTGAGAAAAAACGATTTTYCGATTTTTKAGAAGGGATGATATAAGTAGTACTTTTTCGCCTTGTCAAAGCTCAAAAACAGCTGAAAACAAAACCTTCTAAAAAGCTATCCCCTTGCTTATTTTCAATACAATYTTATCCAGTGATACCCTCATGCCATGGCTTTTATTCGATGTATTCGGTTTTATTCTGTGTTAAGATAACACGGAAATATAGGAGTTTTAGTTACATGCACTTTTCGAGATCGAGCTACAAGCGTGAAGTAGGTACACTTCAACTGCATAAAGATGGATGTAGTATTGAACACTCGTGGATGTCAATTATATTTTCGTAATCCTCTATGGTTACGGTAACTTTTTGTGCATTCAAATCCGTGGGCAACTATTTACTTGAATCTCAAAATCTCAGATAATTTATGCTAATTTTTGATTTCGCCAAAATCACGCGATCAAAAGTCATTATCAAAAAAGTAAACAAAATTAGTCCAGCTTTCTTGAAACTCTTCCAATTGCCTAGAAAAGTTTTAAAAATATCACATCGCTCAAATAAGCTGTTAATTCTTTGAGTTTTCGATTAATTTTGAAATTACTTCTCTCATAATTGCGACACTGAACGATATGCTAATTAGGTAAACAAAGTGCACAGGCAATTATCCACGGTCTGTTCTAAAACTCCACACGAGGGTGACCACGAGTGACCACGAGTGACCACGAATGACCACGAGTGACCACGACTGACCACGAATGACTACGAGTGACCACGAGTCACAAATGAGCGACCACGAATGACCACGAGTAAAAAAATAACAATAATAGCGAAAAATAAAGTAATCATGATCAAGTTACACCTAGTTGAACCGTCCAATAAAATATAATAGCATTTCTTACGGAAATTACTCTATATCTTGTATAAGTATTACTTGCTGGTCCATCAATCCATCATTTTTGTTTCGTTTGTTTGTTTATTNATGATACTTTATTGGAAATACTTCAATAATATGGACCAATATGGGAAAAAGCAGGGATCTATGCGAAGTTCTTTTGTCGACTAAAAGTGAGGACATTTCGAAACCAAGACCATGCTAGCAGTTAGATTGAGGGAGATTAAAAACAAAGAATCTACAGTCTTGAATGACTTAATAAACCTATGCTTGAAACAAGTATGGCTCTGTTGAAGATGACTTTTGAACGATAATTTATCGGAAGTTCGATAAGGAAGGTAAAAAATAAAATAAAATTTTTGCATACAGTTTTCTGTGATATGTGAAGTTCGAGTAGTCCGGGTTCAAACATCGATTATTGAAATAATGTTGATTATTGTAAGCTTACGTAGACTACTTTTTGCCGAGAAGCTTTCAATTTACTTTTAATCAATTGACCTTTATAGATTATAATTTTAAACTTCATCCAACGGAACAAAATCTACCGAAGTCAATATTAGTACGAACTAAATTCTCATAAACATACTCTTTATAATATTTGTTCGTTTATAATATTTGTAGCACACATTCCTTAGAACAGAGCATCTAACTTTGAAATAGAAGTACTAGATAATCATTTTCAGCTTCTATATTGCTATTGGAGCTCCGCTATTAGGTATTACCTAATTTTTATATTTTACTTCAGGAAATAAAGTTGATGTAAAATCTCTGTTTGCGAAAGTAGACTATTTTGCCCCTTTCCAATTCTGAGCTAGCCAGGGTAAAATGCCTGATAAAGGATAGTGTGCCTATTGTTGTCATATAGATTGGACAGGAGAGGGAATTGAATACCAGGACGAAATGGATTCCCAATAATGATTCTGCACGTAGGGATAAGCTCCAGAATAGAAAATAAGGCCAATATACAAGGCTCTACACTAAGAATTATAATAATTGGTGATCGTATGGTCGCTTAACCACTTGACATGAAAATACATTTGTTTTTCTTAGTTGATGGTCAGTACTCACCGTGGAGTTACTGGACTCTTTGTAACGAGACATGCGGTGGAGGAACTCAACGACGTTTCCGCGCATGCACCAACCCCAGGCCTCAAAACGGCGGTAAAGACTGCAACGAAACCCTACTTGGTCAATCGACGGATTCGCAAAGCTGCAATACACATCCTTGCCCAAGTAAGAACTCATTGATGTTCAATGCAGATTCTCTTTGAATATAACAGAGAGTTATATAATAGAAGAGACCTACCTTTATTCAGAATGAAATCCTCCATTTAAAACTTTGAAACATCTCATCAACCCCGAACAAAAGTTCATTTGAATGCGTTCCGTGATATATTTGTCTATTAGGCGATGGGCTGTAAATCCAAATATCGAATAAACTGTTTATTGCTGGTACAGCCTATACTTTTGAATATGCAATAGTTCTTAATGTGCCAATGAGCATATTGATTAGAAACTGACAAATTGTTAACTAGTATAATATATTCATAGTTCACGGTGGATACTCGTCGTGGTCCAGATGGACCAGATGTTCTGCGACATGTGGGAGAGGAGACCAGTACCGCTCACGTACATGTACTAATCCCAGACCCCAATACGGTGGAAGAGACTGCTGGGTACTTGGTCAATCTAAAGAGTGGAATCCATGCAATATACGACCTTGTCCAGGTAAAATTTCCCTCAAACATTTTAGTATTCCAAGAATATCATGTATATAAAAATATTTCGGCATATATATCAGGATGTTCTGAATTTTGTAACAATAGTCTTTGTATTGTTCAATATTTCCTAGTTAACGGTGGGTATACACCATGGTCCACATGGTCTCAATGCAGCAGGACCTGTGGCGGCGGAAGAAAACATCGCGATCGCCATTGCACTTATCCAAGACCCAGATACGGAGGAAGAGATTGTAGAGAACTGGGAAAAGCTAAAGATTCTAGAGATTGCAACAAACAGTCATGTCCAGGTAATAGATATATCGGTGTCTGAAATGTTTAACATTTGAAAATCCGCGTTTTAACTTTTCGAAGTTGAAAGAGCATTATTAGGGCAATTCTTACTACTTTCTTGGTAAGAAAGAAACCAATTAGCGTTAGCTAACCTACTAGCTCAACTTGTTTACATGATCGATACTGGCAGGAAAATTGTTAGCAAATTCAAGACAGGACCATAGTAAAGTAATAAGTATCAATCGATAATCCAAAGAAATTGCCATTGAATGTTTAATTTCTTCACAAACTTATATCAAAGATAATCATAGAATTTGAAAGCTAAAACGGAATGTACAAAGTCTTATTTAAAAGTCACATGGGTCCTGTTGTTACTCCAATAAAGTTATTCGTGCTTTACACTTCCTTAACTGCTTACTTCATCCAAGCAAAGTATATCATAAGCTCAATTTTTCACATAATTTTTGGTGATATGTAGTTTTAAGCCTGTCTAACAAGACAAGAAACGATTGAGCGAAAAACTATGATCAGCGTGTGCACACAGTTTTCATGCATTTTTGCTGTTCACGGTGAGCAAAACGCTATTCAAAGCGAATCATTCATATTCAAGCGAAGGCATTTGCTCACGCACTTTGCTATGATGCTCTGTGGCTTTCAAATATACATGAAGTAAGTTTGACATTGACGATATCAATTGGTCTACAAAGAAGGGGGGGATGAAGCTACGGGTTTTGATTTCTGCACTAAAATATGTATCTCGTTATACATTGCTCTCTTTAGTGGACGGTGGATACTCACAATGGACACCATGGTCGTCATGTACAAAGACTTGTGAAGAAGGAACTAGAAATCGAACTCGTTCATGTACTAATCCCAGACCACAGCACGGAGGGAGAGATTGTAGTAGACTGGGAACAGCTACTCAATCCAGTGTATGTAACACAAGAATTTGTCCAGGTAAATACATCGTTAAAACAAAAGTACGCTCTATTAANTTTCTAAAATAAAAAAATAACAATTGAATTAGCTAGTTTCCTAATTAATTGGCTAATTTGAGTGGACAATTTGTAATAATCAGTAGCCATATGAGGACAAAAATCCATTATTTGGTCGGGTGCAGATGGAGTTCACCACGTACAACGCGCTTTCACATGGGCAGCAAATGAGCATTGCCTCATTTGATTTTGATGTTGATTTTGTATAGCTGTTTTATTCAATTCAACATGTTTGAAAGTTTTGAAAATGAAAAGTTACAGAGAGTCGTTGCGAAAACGAATAAATTAGGATGAATGGACGCTTAAATGAATGAATTTGTTATTTAAAGTTGGAATTAATTCGCCAATTTTTTACAAATATAAAATGGTTAGCTCTCGTTCCATCTCGGGATCCCTTTGGTATTCTTGCTTAATGGTAGGATCATGGATCAAAGCCATGCATCAAATGTGCTYTTTCTATTCGTGGGACAAAAAGAAGAATTTTCTATGTATACCGTGCTGGGTATATTTATAGTGGCGTGCCTGCTTTCCTCTACTACTGCTTCATTGCTAACATTTGTTTATTATATATCGTTCGTGTTTCCATTGGCTTGACAGCATGCGTTTATTAGACAATGATAATAATATAGACATATGTATAACTTTGCTTAATAGTTGTTGGTTAATAAACTATCCCTATGAGTGTTTATTCTTTTTCMAATGTTTTTAAATKTTTTTATTTTATTTTAATGWTCATTTATATGACTCGTGTTCATTCGTGGTCGCTCATTTGTGACTCGTGGTCGCTCATTTGTGACTCGTGGTCACTCGTGGTCACTCGTGGTCACTCGTGGTCATTCGTGGTCACTCGTGGTCATTCGTGGTCACTCGTGGTCACTCGTGGTCACTCGTGGTCACTCGTGGTCACTCGTGGTCATTCGTGGTCACTCGTGGTCACACTCGTGTGGAGTTTGAGAACAGATCATTATCCACGACTTTTGGACGACTTTATTCCAAAATTATTTCAAAACGGCTTTTGTAACTATTACATGCCTTAATATCTTCAATATATAAATAAACCAAGCAATAAATGATGAATAACGAGGAGTATTTCGACGAAAATCTAAAGACTTGCCGTTGTATGGCATGGGCGGTCTTGTGAGATTCCCGCCGCTAAAAATGAAAAGTTAATTTGCGCCAGACATTGAGGTGATAATTGTACTTGGCTGCTAAACTCTGATGTACACAACATTATATGAAAGCGCACAGAATTTATCATTTGTGTGAATGTGAAGAACTCCAATGGCAAAGTGTGGAATTGGCCAGATCACAGACACAGAGTGTGGCGAATCTGCAAAGCACCAAAGGAAAACCAAAAATGAAGTAATATTACTGGTAAAATGCAATCGGGACATTTCTAAGCACCTTCAATTTTGTAAAATAAGCAACGAAGGTATTTCGACAGAAGCCGATCTGATACTTTGCAGAGCAGGTAAACTGGTCTTTTTAAAACTTCATTTTATTTTCTGAAATTTATGTGAGTCAAAATATGCTTTTTTGATAGGAATCTTTGCCTCGTCGCGCAAAGAAAACATAGTCGTTTGCTCACTGCATAGAGATAGCCTTGGTATCTATTGGAGAGGCCAATATAAGAATTGTCAAGTACCGATTTCTATTGCTGCACACTCAAAGAGATCAAGAGGAGATCGATCTGTTGGAAAACGACTATCGCAATCAATATTTGAAAGAACAAATGAGCTTCTCCCTGTTGGATCATGTAAGTGTTCGATAAGTGTACAGAAACAATTGCGAATATTCACTATGATAAAAAAA